TACATGTATATGTTTGTATTTTGAGAATATTTGAGTACTGTATTTATTGATTTCTTTGTGTATCTTTCAGTTAATCGTATCGTGTCATATCGCATGTAACGCATGGTTATGTGATAGATGGTGCGCATTAAAGACAATATAACCCTCAAGTCAAGCCTCCATGGTGTTATTTAATTTCATTGCATGAAAGGGACCCACACTACGTATTTGTCAATTCCCATCGAATAACCCATGGTCTAAAAATAGAACAGAACTTGACACAATGTTAAAAAGTGGCAACATGAATTGAAACGTGAACATGTGACTTCTGGCAGTGGGTAATGTAAATCTTTCTCTACTTCACTAACACAAGGAGTTATGGAGGTGGAAGATAAATGTGATTTCAAGAATCGAATGAACTTATTTCTAATAACACTTTACGGATGATAAATAAATATTTGGCCCTCTCTAGTACGACTATATACTTTACAATGTAAGTACATGTATATTATATTTAAAAAACAATAGATGAAAACTAAAAAAAGTAAAACTGAAGTCCATACTACTGTGCTATTTCTAGTCAGTGTTGTCAAATAAATTAAATAAATAAATAAATGACTTTATATTGTATTGCATTTCTTGCGATTCACATTTTAGGATTTGGGTTTATTTACGCCCTAAATGGCCGCTAGTCGGCCATATTTTTTTCAAGCAAAAATGAGGCTTTAGATAAGTATGATATCGTGTTGTGACTTTGTATCAAATAATTTCGCAATGCATGCACGAGAATGGTAGTTCCCCATACATAGACATCATACGGACGGAACCCGAATTAACAGTCTTATAACAAACGTACATTAAAAAAGAACTTAACAGCAGAAGACACTGGAAAAAAAGAAATTTCACTGAGAAACAAAATCACCACATGATCCAGTAAAGTACTTGTTCACCCCCACTAGATAAAATACACCTGTTCCCATGTATAGAGCAAAATACAGTTAGTTACGTCACGGTTACTAGTAACCGTGGCTACGTGCATTTGTTCTTATCAATTGTCTATTGTATATTCGGGGGGTGAGAAGAATATAGGTGTTTGCTGTAACTACGTCACGCGAATGCGTGTATCATGGAGGTATAAACAGAAGGAGTCACAACTGGTTTTAGCCTATTAAATTTACCCCTCCATGCGTGTATGAACTCAGTGGCCCGATGTAAAAGTACGACGGGTAAACAACACTCCAATGTGACCCGAGTCACGTACCCCGGCCGTGTTGCACATTACTAGTTTACATCATGGCCTTGTTTATTTCCTTGACAGCTACTGGTGGTACCCATTTCAGTTATTATTTCTTCAGTGTAGGCAGGGGTTGACTCATTGGAACATGCGTGTCTGTTTAGGGAGTTCGTGGTGAATGGGATAACAATTGCGGTCAATGCCGGCACCGCAGTTCATGTGCCTGAGTCGATATCGGTTAGAATTTACACATGCCGCAAGGCTGTTAAGAAACTCGTCTAAACAACTTAGATGAAAAACTGATTCTCAAAATATCAAAATACATTCATAAATGCTTTCTTATGAGAAAAGAAAATATACAGAGATTGCCAGCTGCCCTGAAAATATAATGCATTCTTACATTTATATGTAAACTATTTATTTACTACTTTGTAAAAGACTTATTATTTTTTCTTTTTCCGTTATACTTTATTTTTTGTTGTTGTATTTTGTGTGTTTTGAATATATATTTTCTGTATCTTTTAATCTTTATTGGATGTTAGACCAGATCTCAATGGAGATAGGTTGACAATAAAGTTATTAGTACATAACGAGGGTCATATCATTACAAATGAGAGCAGGGGTGAGGTAAAACATGGTGGGGTAGACTTGAGTTGGAACCCAGAGCACAACGCTTTACCAACTCGACATTAAATTCCAATGTCACCGGATTGGCCGCCGTTGCTATAGCAGCGACGAGACTGTTCGTGTGCGATGTGATTCACTTTGTTCTAACTGGGTTAGTAGTGGCATGTGACGCATTGTCTAAGTATGAGGTGTATAAATTAAGTAGGGTGCAGTGTATCATGGTGTGACGCAGTGTGAATGGAAATCCGACCCGCACTTTTCCTCGATGCCCCGACCTCATCTTGAATTGTTGATGTATAATTTTCGGGCTTACGGTGGAGAGAGGACGAACGGATACAATACCACGTGAGCAGACGATGCCCACCCTGAAACCTCGACTTATGTTGTGACACTGATCAGTGCATCTTGATCGGTGTTGCCTTGGTTTCCATATTACGATGTGGCACTATTTGATGTCGCTTTGGTTATACATTAATAATAATATTTATTATTTATCAGTCAGCTCATTGTGCTAATAAAAATGCACTGATATGCGCCACAAAACGTAAATATTTACGACAGGGTAGGATGGAAAGCGACGCAGTGCGAAAACAAAATCGGCTTCAATATTACTGACGCATGCGCTGTGAAATTGTTTGTTGATGACATGGTTTTACTACACTGGAGTCCGAACAAACCAGTGTTTGACAAACGTTCCTATGAATGACATACTATGGTGGTAACCCAACTAAATGACCGTTGCGTGTTTACGTCACACGCACGATACACGATTGAGCAAGTGGCTCTAACGCGGACATACACACTTTCATTTATTTATTATTAGTAACAAAGTTGGTTGTCTGTACTAATAATAATGCAATGATTTCATTCTTAAATTTCGTAAACTGTTGTTTCGTTGCGAAACAACGGAGATCGCAGTATGCAGTGGCGCCCACGGACTCAACTTATGTGTGACGCTACTTCACGCAAGAAAGGACATTATATTCTATTTATAGACCACACCCACTCAAAACCTCTTCGTGTACGTATATGGATGTCGTATGTAAATTATCCCCACCAACAGTGCCGTTTCTTAGAAGAACCACTATAGAAGAGCAATGCTATTTTTAGATTCTGGGAGATCCCCAAAGTGGAGGCGGAGTTGACAGGAAGTTAATATGGTTATAAATTCCGGTGGACATGGAAGAACTTCATCAGCTAGAAAGTGAGCCCACACATCCACTAGACTAACTAGATCTGTTGCTCGGACATTATCAAACTTTCACCCGGATGACATGGATTTTTCAAGAGACCAGCACATGCTACTTCAAGCCGGTAAGTATTCTAACGATCAATGTGTTGCTTTAAAAGTATGCGAAAGTATGTCAACTTTATCCATCACTTACTGTTTTTGATGTAGTCTAAAACTGAATCTTGTTTTGTCATTGCAGCTATCACCCTACTGTTAGTTACTTCACATATCACCGCAGCCCCAACTGAAACGGTATTTACAACGACAGAACCCGAGGCACTCACGCTGGACGATGGGGACAATAATGTATTTGCTGAAGTTAGGCAAGCGTCAATCGGCAGCGTGTTCGAAGAATACCAAAGACTGACTCGTTTAACGTCGGAGTTCCGAAATGCAAACAAGGACGTTTTCGGTAACTTTGTAAGTATCTTATTAACTTTGTTCTAGCTATCGCTGCAGATAGTAAATAATATACGTTACTATTTTTCCTGGCACTCCATTCACCACAACTGAACAAGCAACGGTATTCGCTATTTTAACCTGCACGTGATCATTCACTCACGCTACATCACGTGATCAACGTCGTGTTGGTCGAGGACTCGACTCGTCTTCAAAAAACCACCACCGTACCGTATGTGGTCATGGATTTGACCTCGATTGACTAATTTGCATATTTTATCGCGGGATATTCCCTATCGTCACCTCTTGTCTATTTGCTTCATGATACGTCATCGTTCGACTATTTCATTCTACTAGTATTCTTCCTGGATCGGTGTCTAATCCTGGTTATGTTATCGTTTTTTTTGTAGAAGCAGCTCAGATTAAACGGTGATGACATTGACAGTGATTTACATGCGTTCACTTTCGAAGGACTCCCTAATCCAGTTTCTCGATTCCAGTCAAGATTTTTACAGGTGAGATTTACTGAGTAACATATCGTTCGATTTCCATACGTTATTATGGAATTGGTGAACATCTGAAGTATTTGTTTTTTTTGTTTTTTAAAGTTTTAGGTAATCCGAAACTATTAGTCTAAACTTTACGCCGTGTTTCACTCAATATTCACCGTTTCACTAACGCCTATAGACGATGCTAGTAATAGTCCCATTACTCATTCATCGTTCGATTCGCACGCTTAACCCGCCTCAATAAATGTTGGGGCCCAGACGAATAAAAGAACCTTGCTGGCAAAATGCCCGTGGATCAGATTAACAATGTTTACGTTAGCGGTGTACACTATTCACGTTCGGTCGATTAGCTGACCGCATTTCAAAATTACTAACAACATGCATAGGCGTCAATGGAGCGGGGTCTTGGCGAGAGGATTATGATCGCGCTACTTATCTATTAAGCGCTAGGCGGAAATGTCGGCAGGCGACGACTCTGAGGATCACGCATGCTCATTTTCTCTTTATTTTCTTCGATAGGAAAGGGACTTAATTGTTTTACACAGAGACAATCTGCTACAATTCCAGTCATTCATCGATGCAATGTATATGGATGAATTGGACGTTTTCTACGATGAAGAAGGAGAAACCCCTTTTCATGAAGAATTCCAATCACTGGCTTTACAAATACGAAAAATTGTCACAAAATGCAACTCTTCTGGTGAGTACATATTACTAATCCATGGTTCGGCAATAAATATGTGTAGTGTTTAACCCATCCATCTTCTATTCACATGTGGTGTACGCTAAAATCTCAACTTATCTTTCTTAATTTCTCGTTTCGCTATAGTTACATCAGATGAACTTTGTCGATGCCATCGTCACCACGCCGACTGTAAATGACGGTATGGAAATGCTCAACAGTGTGTTCATGCGTGAACTCAGACACGCTAAAGTGCTCAAACAACTACTCGACTATCTTCCCGGTGCCAAACAAGACTTCGAACGTTGGGCATACACCCACAAAGAATCTTAAGATATTTGGAAGTTTAGTAAATACGTTTGTTTCACACAGACGTTAATTACCAGGTGTCATACACCTTTTTTTTTCTTACTCGCCGGTAAGGGCCAAAGTGTTAGTCAGCACAAAGCTGACTGACTTAATCACGTGTCGGTCATGTGACCCCACAGTATACATGATTTTACGATGCAGTCTACCAATATTTGGTAGGTTGGATCTTACTTAGAAATAGGGGAGTATTTAGATATTTGCGATATTTACAGTATTTTTATAAGCAGTTTGAGCGATATGGGTGAAGTATATATAATATTATATATGTATTATAACATTTTAATACTATTCTGAATACTTTTGCTCAGGTCAGGTCACGTATTTACAGAGTTCATTGCAGTTTTTTGGGATGTATAAGTTATTGAAATCTATACAATAATTTAATAGTCGTATTTTTATACAGTTTCTTTAATTATTTAAGTGAGTACATTTGTTGAAATATCGAGTAATTTATTGATCATTGATTGTATAATAAGAGTGTTTTATATTTATTTCATTCAAGAGATAAGCAATTTTCAAATTATGTCGTGATATGTAATTTACGCTAATGTCATTCAGTGTAATTTAATTTATGAAGGCATTTGTGTTTAATTTTATTTGAGGGGAGACTGGTGCTTACTCTTTGAAAACACACGGACTAAATATTTCTTTCTAAAATGTGTTCTGTGTCATAGAGAAATTATTTTGTAAAACAGTAATGTAATTTATTTATCTGTTTATTTTATTATTTATTATAAATAAAACAAACTGTTGAAATTTGAATGTTTACTTGTACGTGAGTTGTTATAATAAATAGAATATTGTTACAATAAATGAACTATTACGCCGATCCACCGTCAAGTTGATTCACTTCCAGTAAGCTCGATTATGCAGGTTAATGCAGGTATTTTATTATACCAATTCCATTTTTGTGCTAAAAATTTTGTATTATAAGTACCTACGTTAAACTTGAGAAAATTTACGAAATTTTCGTGAAACGTGGGAAACACGTTTTTCATCCATGCACACAATACATTAATGATTTATTACATTTTTATATCCGTACGTACGTTATGATACTATGATATTTATAGGGACTCCATGCAAATATACAAAAAAACAGTCTGGGATGGCCGGTCATAACCCCCCCTCTCTGTTCTGTCTCTAGTACGGCAACCGAGGGCCACTTTATCCACATTTTAATTGATTTCGTAATTAAAACTATAATCCTCTGAACTCAACATCACATCCGTTATTTGTTCATCCTCGTTCGCTGCTAGTCTTGATATAATCAGACTATGCTATGTTGTAAACCACGGTTACTAACCGTGTGTAAACATAAGAACAGTTTTGTACACTGAACGAAAGTTGCTTACCGAAAATACTGTAACAGTTTTGTTTTTCTTATTATAATTTATGGATGATTATAATTTGTGGCCCGAACATCCCGGATCACTTATCGGTAACCGGATTTATTGTAAGTAAATATGTTGTGGGTGCGTGAGCTGGGTTTTTGTTTTCTAATTAAAGCGGGAGGGTCGTCACCTGCGCACGCGCGGGAATTGAGTCCCAAGCGACGATAACAACACACGTTGAGAACGCAAAGGCTCACGGGTAGACGCTTGTTTGTAAACAATGACACGCTACAGCCACCTGACGCATGCGTAGGTGACGACTCCCCCACTTTAACGTTTTCTTTTTTTTCTTTTTTTTTGTAATTTGTAATGCGATTAGCGATATCCATCCATACATCTGAAATAGGGTCATATGTCTGAAAAAATGAACTTGTTTATTTGATTATTACGTAACTTATCAACCGTTACTCTCTCTATTTTTAACTCTACGTTTTGAGTAACATTTGAATTCGTGCGGGTAAATGAAATGTAAGTAAGACTCACGTCGTCGACAATTTCCAGTGTTTGACAAAATATTACTTCAGAAATTGTTCGATGTACGTGATATGTTACGTTTACTTGAAGTTCTGTTTTCACTATTACAAATATCATTGGCAGACGAGAATCAGTGTAAAGGATGTGTTGCCATCGTAACATACATTTGAAGCATATTTAGTCTAAACATGAAACTTTCAGAAGTAGGATAAGTCACATGATAGTGATGCATTGTGGGAATCCATTGAACACCAACAATTCAATACGTAAATCTGATGACGATCACATGACCGATGACGCCTATGTTGCGATGGTACGGATCGTTTACGGGAGAGAAGACCCTTGGAGAGACTTATTCTAATTCCATCGTTTTGTCTTGTGTCCTGGTCGTTTAAGAAACTGAAGAAAGCCAGCTGCACTTCCCGTTGCTGTAGAACAACTTTAAAACAGTGAAGATGTTTACAGTGATACGCCGCATGTAATCGTCTCTGAGCTGTTCACAAGAAACGTTCCGGTTTGACTCGTTGGTGAGAACTTCTTCTCTAGTAGAATATATGCTATATATCTTACATTATTTTAAAGATTTACTCCCCGAGCGATCTCCCGACCATTTCAAACGATGACTGACGCTTGTAACTGTACATTTTAGTAGAATGGGAATGCATGTAAACGTCGGATGATGGACCGGAATACTGTCTGGATATAAACGACATATCATATTGCCGACATCATTGCAACTATACAGTGTGTGCTTTATTAGTACGCCGTATTATGTTTGCTTTCGAAGCTAGGATACGGAACAAGTTATTTCCAGACTTTCCACATATGTTTTATATATGATATCCATGTTGACACTTTTCACCCTAGGGCAAACAATTTAGCTGATAGCAGTTTTTTTTTTTCGGTCGGGAAAAGGTCAAACTTTATTTGGAATGTCTCGAACTGGAGTAACCCGGCCTAGTCTTGTCAAATCCAACTCGAACTGATATATTTGACATGTGAACAAAACTGACGCCCATATCCTTGTTTGCACAAGTTACAGAATATACCCTACATTATACTGGTATTTCCCGGCCGTGGAAAGCCATTAAATTGTCGTCTGCGCGCATTCTCGCCGATATGTTGGCAAACTGTATATCACATTCCCGTGTAGATTTTTTTTTATCAGCAAACCGTCGTCTGCACCGCAATATATCCCGCCATATTCTGCAGTGCTAGTCAGTTGAGTAAACATTGATCACCGCCAAACTGCCACGTTATTGATATTCCTCGCCATGTTTCAAGTTATCAGTGAAAATGTGCTTGGTAAAATCTCAGTTGTCTGAGGTAAAATACCCATTTACGCCGTATTACATCCCGCCGATTTATAGCGTTTGTACGTAGCAACGTTTGCTGAAAATGGATTTTGAACTATATGATTACATTTTTCTGGTAGCGGTCTAGGTCGGGGTGTTCAGACAGACTATATTTTGTTACACATTACTGGGTAACGCGAGTAATACTTTTTCCTCCCAAATATGCATATCCTTCTATCTTCTACATGCAACTTATTTATCTATAATTCGGAAGGTGATTTTTTTTTGTTCATAACACCCATTCATTTTCAGTCACTATTTGTAGTTATGGTTGCATATACTCGATTAAAGGGTCGTTGTTTGGATTTTCGCCATTTTTGTTCTTACTGTAGACTTGCACACAATCTCTTGTTTGTTTTGTTGGTGTTTTCAATGAAATTAAACATTATGTGTGGCGCGGATCGCGTGGACGGGTTTCATGTTCTCTGCACGTAATAAGCTCGGTTATTAAGCATCCTTTTTTGGGGATGCCCGGTGGCCGAGTGGAAGACGTGTAGTGGCGTGAAGCTAGGCGATTAGGTGCCGTACGCGAGCGCCGGTTCGAGTCACGCACACAGTACGTATTTACTATAATTAGACGTAGTCTTTACCTTGCCGTTTATTCGGTGTTATTTGCTTACTTAAACATTATGTGAGTGTATAAACGGCGAAAGCCCGGGTATATCGCGATAACCCGGCTTTCACGATTTATACACTCAAAATATTATTTTATTTTATTAAAAAAAAGCCAAATAAACAAACAAGAGACGGTATACAAGTATATTATTATTGTTTAATTCATGGAATATTGAACAAACATAAGCTTGTGATAACAAATAAACACACACGGGAAAATTACAGATGTTCATGAAATGTGCGTGCGTTCATTTTCAAGTAATCTGCATGATACTGGCAGTGGTAAAAAAACATGGATGGAGTCACGTCAGTACTTGCGTGTTTTCTCGCAAGTTATATGAGATAAACATAGTAACATTCTGTTTATTTTTGCAGATACATTGAAACATCTTCACCATGATACGCTGGGTGATGCTCGCGATTTTCCTGTCAACTGCGCAAACTCAAAGTAAGCTAATATGCTAGAAATATTTCTCAGGAAATTCGAGCAGAACTTTGATACTGAGCATGATGCTGTACATGTGTGCAATGCATTGTGGGAATGAAACTTACTTGAAACTTAAATATTTAATATAATTTATTGAAAATTTGTATTATTATTAGGATTACTAACAATAACAATATTATGTTCTTTTCGCCCCATGTAATGGATTTTTTTAGATAGGAAGAAATAATTGTTGTTTTAATTTTCTATACGATAACTTGAATGAAAGTATGAAAAATATGAATAGACAATTTGATCAACACCTTCCTAATATTGAAATTGTGTTCCATTATTCCGGCAAGGACACTCATCACCCTAGAATCGAGGCTAAGTCAAAGTAGCGCAGAGGACTGGAACCGAGTCTACCCTACCCCGACGAATACACACAACTATCCTATAAGCCGCCGGGTGCGTCCAGTCACACCACTCGAACGAGCTGATTCGACTATTCCTTCATACTGGTATAGGCGGACTTGATTAATTACGCCAATTCACATAGCCGTTACAAAATGGCTAGATTGAAATAGTCAATATTGTAACATGATTTCAATAAATCCACCGGGCTTTCCAGTCGTTTTGCGATTACTTCAGCGTAATTAGTTAATATGAGCTGAACAGTAAGAACCTAGTTACAATTAATCAAAAAATACAATAAAATCACTACAACATGGTGAGAAATTAAAAAAAGAATCAACTGCCTGACTGTTGCGTCCGATGGGTCAATAGAATTTAATTTAATACTAGTAAATGAAAAAAAGGATGATAGCAATAGGATTTCCTAATGTTTCGTGTAAACTTTAGAAAAGTGCACATAGAGATTGCTTATGTAATGTCTGAACACTAGATGTAGGTCAAATGTTAAAGCGATAGGGTCGTCACCTGCGCACGCGCGGGAATTGAGTCCCAAGCGACGATAACAACACACGATAAAAACGCAAAGGCTCATGGGTAGACGCTTGTTTGTAAACAATGACACGATATGGCCATCTGACGCATGCGCAGGTGACGACTCCCCCGCTTTAAGTTCTGTGTTAATATTCAAATACATGTAGTTTTGTGGAAGTGAAATCATAGTGAAATGAAACTTACAAATTGTATTACAATACTACTAGCTATTACAATAAAAAGTTGCAATTACCTCATTAGCTAGCAGACATACCATATATATTTTGCTCTTGCGTATTGACGTTAAAACGTGTTTGCGTAAACATCCCATGGTATGCCTGATCGCTTTTATTAGTAATAATATATCAGTAAATGTTATTATTTTTACAATTATTTGTTTCTGCAATCTCGTGTCTGCCTCATGTACCCTTTTGTACATTTATTATCACAGGCATCAGTAGCCAAGGACCCATGGACGTCACCACTGTGATGGTCAGCTCAAAATCTCCATATCCAAACCCAGTTTCCACCCATCATACGAGCGTCGGACCTGCCCTGACGGCTACTGGAAAGACAGCGATGACGGGTTCAGTGGTTAATACAGGACAGGCGTCGACGACGTCATCTTCTCGGGGTTCAACACAGTCAGCCACGGATGAGTATCAAGGTATGTTTCCCTGGATACATTAACAATATTTTAATTTAGCGCGACGGTTTCAGCGAAGCGCGTGTGAATGGAACAAAATAAACTACTTATATTTGAAAACTCACAGAATGTATGCTCATTAAAAACAAATTCGGTCACCAGCCTACTTTTTTTGGGGGAAAAAGGCTGACTGCCGGCACGATGCATGTTACCATATAATAATAGCACAATAAACCAATGAATACTGCCATACGTGAATACAATGTCAATTTCACTGAGTTCAACATTTTATAAATAGCGCCATCGCTATCTGTGATACCAATAATCAGAACCACACATGCATGTGCCCGAATTTGTCAACATACTGATTTTAATTATTCCGGATCAATAATTATCCTTCATTTACATAACCGTTAATTAAGTTAATCAAATTTATTCATTTAGCTATAATTAGCCCAAATAAATACTTCGTCCAGCCGATGTGGTTAACTTCTATACACAGTCCCTCTATCCCGTGTTCTATACTACTAATATTACAAGTAGTTGCTATATCAACATGACTGTTGGGTGGGACTCACCAGACGCCGCGCAAGAGAAGTTATGAAATACCTTTGTTGTTACTCATCCACGTTGTATATTTCAATTGCGCCTCCACAGACACAACATCGACTCCCTTGCTGGTTGTATTGGTCATCACTGAATTGATAATCAACGAACCAGACGACAAATGGATTCAAAGCGATGGCGGCCAAGCGCTCGATTTCACAGTACGGTGTCGAGCACAAGCTACTCGTCTCACGTCTCGGGGGATGATAACTGGACTATTCAAGCGTTTGTCGCCAGTGTCGATAACGGGAATCCCTCATCCCCCGTGATTCAGGCACAGCTGAGCGATGTTTACCTCACAGCAGATTTGCCACCCGGCGGTAACTACACTTTTAGCGATATCGGCATAGCATTAGATCTCACCAAAGTCTCATGCTCCATCATTTCCCACTTCTGTGTCATGGTCGATCCTAGCACGAGTGCCAATTGGAGCCTCGATCCACAAAATAGCACGCACGTGAAGTGTGTAGGTGTGTATTGTACAGGTGAGAAATCAACTTGTTTACTAATGATGCTGACAAGATACAATATAGACGGAAATATATGATATTGATGTTTGATACTGCACGTGTATGAATGCTTGGATTGATGAACCAAATGATATCATGAACCAAAAACATTAAAGCGCGGGTGTCGTTACCCGCGCAAGCGTCAGATGGCCATAGCGTGTAATATTGTTTACAAATAAGCGTCTACCCATGAGCCTTTGCGTTTTAGCTTGTGTTGTTATCCTCGATTGGGACTCAATTCCCGCGCGTGCACAATTGATTTCTGTATTACACATTCTCTGATAATTTTAGCACGTACAATATGCGTATTAGTGTTTTTTTTCATTTGTCATGGAACGAATTCTATACGGTGCGGCCACGTTGCAAAAAAGACCATTTGTTTACAATAAATCATAATCCAATACAGTCGTCAACATTTTGTATTAAATAACAATATTATCTATGGCAATATTGCATTTTTAACTTTGATTATTATACACCTATACACCGGAAACAATCTTCTCTATTCCCAAAACTTGCGCGCACTTTGTGGATAACCTCATAGTATTTTTGAGTATGATGCTTAAATTTGTATTTGTTGTTTAAATTTGTATTTTTTGTACGATTTTCTATAAAATAATGCCCTTGATCTGGCAGCAAACACACCATTATTTGAAGAAATATATAAAAACTTTACTGCACATGCGCCCAGGTTTGCCTATACATATAGATAATTAAAGGGGCACTTCCAGTTAAGCCTAATCTCACAACAAATTTACTTTATGGATTAAAATTACAATGGATAACAAAAGATAGATTAACTTTGTAAACAACATAAACAATAGTGTGTCACGATTCTTTGGTGCAATCACAGTCCCTCTATCGGGACTGTGGTGCAATCCATGCGATTGCGCGGTTCCCCCTTTATAAAACCGAAAATGACATAATATGATGGCATTCTAAAAAGTGGCTAACGTTGAAGTCATTCTAAATGTTCAATAGTATTGTATTCACTGTAGAGTAAATTAAAACAAAACAAGCACAGTAATCGTTCAACGAAGTATTCAGCTACACAAATATCCATGCGATGTGAATTAATAATATATACCAACAATCATGCGCATGCGCGACCAAAGGAACGCCTTTTAATAGTTCAAGATAAATCTGATGTTCATGTGTATAATAACATTCAGTAAGCTATGCTCTACGTAAGCGTGATCCACAGAAGGTGGGTTATTGTTTCTTTTTTAAGGCACTGCAGGTGAAGTGTGGAATTGTACAAATGCCTACACGCGATGCAGACGTGGTAAACAGACTGACGGGAGTGACACTAAATTAAGTAGAGGGCATGAAACCTATTCAACTTCGAAAGCAATTGTAACACCCCCACCTCATGTTCTCATATTACTATATAATTGAAAGCTATCGTCCCGTGTCTATCTCGTCCCGCCATACATTACTCCATGTATGTTCAACTAACTAAAATGTTTTTTTTTTTCCCAAACAGATGGAGGCAACCAAATCGGCCCTGAGATGAACGTAATGATACTGTTGCCAATTATAGCATATTTATGCAGTAAGCCGTGATACTGTCTTGACTATATATAGTGATGTCGATAACATGGTATATTGTGTGCGTAGTATCTTTGCGTCTATTCAGTATTGTACACTGAGAGAATATAGTCAATCAGGAACACTTCTTGCTTGAACACACACTCTACCTGCCTGTTATTCACAGTCGCCAGAGTGACTGTAGCGCGTGGGACGTCACCAAATGCAATAACGCAGTTGACTTTGTGAACGTTGGACAGCAGATGATCTGAATAAAAAAAATGTTGCATATTATGTTTTGTCGTTAATTAGATCGCACCATTCCATAAATATGTCTTTGTTTGTTCGATTTGGACATTAGTTGATACATGGAGGTATATTCACAGCGCTTTGCATAGAGACGAATATGACACTGTCTTTGCCATTGTGATAGAAATGTCGTGGGAGGGCGCTACTTGATACATATGCCATTTGTAGCAGAAACTTGAAGAGTGTCGTGAATCTGACGATCTCTATACATTAACACATTGCTTACTGAAAACTCCACATGCACACCAAAATCTACGGGAAAAGGGAGACAGCTGGCAATGT